ACAAAGAACTGATTCTAAGGCGTAGTTCTATTAAAGGTCAAATAACAAAGTTTAAAAATTATTTAGCTTTATTTGAATCATCACCGTTATCCAGTATTGAGGTAGCTGAGCTATCACTAAGATTAAACAGATTTGAAAATTTATCCACAAAATTTGATAGCCTTCAATCAGATATTGAAGTGCTCAATCACGATAGTCTTGAGAGGGAAATCGATGAGAGGGATGGTATTGAGCGCGACATCATTTCATGCAATGCTACGGCAAACAGTTTGATATCAGAAACAAACATTCAATTAGAGGCGCGCCGAAAGTCCGTCGCGCCACTGGAGCCTCAATGCCATGACCACCACGATGACCCTGGTGTTAAGCTGCCACAGATTCAGATTTCTAAATTTGACGGAGCTTATTTCCGCTGGCTCGACTCTAAACTATCAATGTTGCAAAGATCATTCGCCTACGTAAGGCGATTCATTTTCAATTTAAAAAATCCTTTAAACAAACGCCTAGGTTTCGTAACAGCTGAAGAGTTAAAGGATTCCTTTGAACACTTATGTGCCATGGCTCAAAGATAAACTTTTCCATTACAATACAAATTGCTAACACAACACAAGATACTAAACACTAAATTTAAAATTTTGTCACTTGCGCGTCGGTTTATATCGCGTCGCGGCAAGCCAGCGGAAATATTCTCCGACAATGATGGTCGAAATTTCGTGGGGACAGCTAACGAACTACACATACTTAAGAACTAACAATGCGTCTCTTTCTGACTTTGCTGCTCAAGAAGGAATCAAATTTCATTTCGTTCCCACTTACTCTCCTCACTTCGGTGGTCTTTGGGAATCGGGTATAAAATCCGCTAAACACCACATCAAGCGTGTGATAGGCAATGGTCATCTAACCATTGAGGAACTACAAACTTTATTTGCACAAGTGGAGGCAATACTCAACAGCCGTCCCTTGGGTCCTTTATCCGCCAGTCCTGACGGCCTTTTACCTTTGTCCCCAGGACACTTCCTCATTGGACGACCACTAACATCGTTTCCATCGCCTGATGTTCAAAATTTGAACTCAAACAAGCTGCAACGCTATCAACGTCTTGAACAAATGCGACAACATTTCTGGACAAGGTGGCAAAGAGAATATATCTCCGAATTACAACAACGGCAAAGATGGACCCAAGAAACT